GCCCTTGGAGAACTCCAGCCTTTGGACTCCAGCACCTGCACCAGCTCATCCCTCCCACTCCAGGCTCTCAGACCTTCAGCCTTGGACTGAAAGTGACACCATCACCGTCCCTGGTTCTGAGGCTTTCAGACTTGGACTAAGCCACACTACTGGCTATCCCTCCAGGTCTCCGGTTTACAGACGGTCCGCCATGGGATTCTGCAGCCTCCATATCCCATGAGCCAATTCCCCTGATAAATCCCCTCTCCTATATCTACCTACACATGTCCTATTGGTTTTGTCTCTACAGAGAACCCTGACTAATACACAGGCCTAGGGAAATGCCACGTGAGGGCAGAGACTGAAGTTATGCTGCCGTAAGTCAAGAACACCAAAGATGGCGGGCAACCTCCAGAAGCCAGGAGAGAAGCATGAGCAGATTCCCCTCAGAGCCTCCAGAACCGTGGGCCAGTACATTTCTGTTATTTAAGCTACCTACTTCCCAGCACTCTGTTACAGCAGCCCTAGGAAACTAATAAACATACCATGTATTGTAATCATTCTTATCTGTCACTCTCACTAGAAAATAAGCCCCATGAGCACAGGATTTTGGCTCTTCTTGTTCAGTAAAAAATCCCCAACCCCTACAACAGTGTCTGGAACCCAGCAAGCACTCAATAATATTTGCTGAATGAATTCTGAGTGAATGAAAATAAGCTTAGAAGGGAGGCAGGGGTGCTATTCTCATTCCACAGAGGGCAAAACTGAGAGCCAATATTCTAACTTCACTCACAGACAGAAGAGCCAGGACAAGAACTAAATTGGGACCTTGTCTGTTCATTTGATAAATAATACTGAGCGCCACGCTAGTCCCCAGGAAGGCCGCTCCATGCAGTAAAAACTAACCACAACGTGGCATGGTGGGAAAGAAAAGGCAGGATCGCGTCTCAGCCCTCCCCTCAATGAGGGCCATGACCTTGAAGAAGCTACCCCAGCCCTTGGGTCTCAGTGTCCTTATCTATGGAGCGAAGGGTGCATTAGAAGCCAAGTCTACCTGCTCTCTAAGAGGTAAGCAAGGCTCATTTTAATTCGTGCTGCTGCAGATAAGCCTTCTTACACCTCTGGAGCCAGGAAGAAGTCTCCATTCTGCTGACTTACATTTAGGGCAGTGCCCTCTACTTGGAAATCTCTCTCATACCACAGCTACCATTATCCCATTTGTATACTTTTCACACACATTATCAGGACTCACGCCATGGGGCTCTGTGTCTGGAATTCTATGGGCCACGTGATCTGCCCAGGTCTGGTCTGTGTCATCACCGGGTGGCTCTGCTCCTCCCAGGCCCACGGGCAACAAGCTCACCCAGAAGTTCACTCCCAAGAGCAAAGTTTCTTTTTCCCCATCTGGAACTCGGCACAGCACCTGGGGTTGCTCTGCAAGTCTTGGTTACGGCCTTCTCCACATTCAGCCTGCAGGCTTCAGACTTCTGGTTTGTGCGAACCATCAGCCAACCAATTAGTAGCTTCGAATGAACTTGCCACCATACACAAGCATGCATGCACACACAGTGGTGCAGTGACAGGTGGCCAGAGGAATGAAACCAGCACCGACACCGACCTGGGACTGACGCTGTCAGCAGTGTAAGAACACCTTTGGTGACCTCACCTCACAGGGGCTCAGGAGGAGTAAATGGCAGCCCTTTGTCAAGTGCCCAACACCTGTAGTTCTCCCCCTGCATCTGGCTCTGAGCAATGCATGGCAGTGTGGAGAAGAGGGGAAAGAAACTCAACTCCCCAGAGCACTGAGACCTGGGCCCACTTCTGCTCTGTCCCGGCCAGCTGTGTGGCAGGGTGCAGGCACTTCACCTTTCAGGGCCTCACTCAGCCACCTCCAAACAAATGGAAGAGGTTATACCAGCAATCCCCTGGCCCTTGGTCTATCTTACTGAAAAGGCCTTTTTGCATGAGGGGCTCCGGTGTGCACAGCGGAAGCGGTTCAGAGCAGCAGTGTAGGAACAGAATGTACAAACTCACTCTCCAGCCCCAACCTCCCACCTCCACCCCCAGCCCCCACCCTCAATTGCCCTAAGCAACCACTAGTCTCCTGACCTCCTCTCTTTAATGTTACCAGATTATGTCCATTTTTATATCTAGCAAATGCAATATGTAGTCATGCAAAACAGGAATAGTTTCTTAAAACTAGTGAGTACTTATTAGGTAATGTGCTGAGAGCTTTATAAACATTCTTTTAATCTTCCTAACAATGCCAGGAGGCAGGTGCTAATTATTATTCCTGGTTTACAAGGAGGAAGCTGAGGCCCAGGGAGATAAAATAACTGCTCAAGTTATTATTCAGCCATAAGGAGCAGAATGGGAGCTGGGTGTCAGCACCAGCCAAGGCTGTGCCCTCTACCCCGCCCTCTCGCTGGCCCCTTGGAGCAGCAGGTGGAGGACGCTGTGGTCCCGTAAGTTAAGACTTCCCAAACTCCACCGTGCCCACTGGGCAGCCCAGCCATGAAGGCCTCCAGATGCCTCCTCCACCAGCCCGCTGGGCAGGGCCCTCAAATGCCTTCTAAGAAACCCCAGCTTCTCCTTCTCCCCAGAGCACCCTGCTGAGAAACAAACCATCACAATATTCCCCCAGGAAGCCAGGAGAGAAAGAACAATCACCACCCAGCTGGAAGAAAAGACCTGCTGTGCTAGCAATCCCACTTCACCACATTCCCTGAGGCAACAGCGCCCGGTTTTCCAGCACACAATCTTTAAATGTTCTCCCGGTTCAGCTCCCCAGTCTCCAATCCCTGCCTCAGCAGTACAGAACAGACTGGTCTCAACTGATACTTACGTACCCTTGGTTCCTCAGGGGAGAGGTTTGGAGAAATACTCCAGCAGGTTACACCAAAATTAAAATGTTCTATCACCGTGCCTAGCATCCGGGAGAAATGGAGAGGTGAACCAGGCACTTGCTTCAAAGTGCCACCTGCCACCCTGGGTGGCAAGACCTCATAGCACCCAGGGAAGAAGCAGTGTCCTCCAGGGTTACTACAGAATCACTCCTCTGAATGTCCTAAGACAGGGCTCCTCAAACTTTTTAAACAGGGGGCCAGTTCACTGTCCCTCAGACCGTTGGAGAGTGCGCACTGTGGGCCCAGGACGAGTCGGCTGCTAAGCAGGACAGGCAGCAGCGGCAAAAACACCCGGTGGCGGGGTGGCGGGCCGGATAAACGTCCTCAGCGGTTGGCATGTGGCCCGAGGGCCAGAGTTTGAGGACGCCTGTCCTAAGATCTCACCACCAAGATCTAGAGGCTAAATGATGAGTCTCACAACCTCAGCGCCCATCAGTGCAACGCCCACTAAACACAGTCCATTTCTTTACCCAGCAGAATGGCAGCTGGTAGTTCAAATTGGCACAGCCCTGAGAGCATAGTATGGATACTGCTATTAACGTTTTAAATGAATTTAACATTTGGCATGCCAATTCCACTCCTAGAGAATTACGTGCATACTAATATGTATGAGGATATACCAGCAAAACCAATGAGTCAGTTTATATGTCCATCGATAGGAGACCGATCCATAAATTATGATATACTCATGCTAGAAAATATTTTGCAGGCAAATAAAAGACAAACCAAAAGAACAAAGAGGAGCTACAAGCAAGAAAACATCTCCAGGATATATTATGTAAAAAAAACAAACAGTGAAACATATATGATGCAATCCGATTTGTGCTTACAAAAGACAGAAAGCTATATGTATATGTGTCTATACAGGCTGACAGTTTCAGGATATGCACCCAACTGCTAAATCCAGTTCCCTGAGGACCTGGCAGGAATGGCATCTGGGAGGCGAGCTGGGCGAAGGGGACTTGGCATGTCTGCTATGTCCTTCTGCACTATGTGAACGAGAGGGCAGGGTGCAGGAGCAGAATACACTGACATGTCACCTATGTAATTTAATTATAAAGCAACTGAACTGATTAAAAACCACCACGACCGCCACCAAGTTCTCATGCTGACATCAAATTGCTGCACTCATCTGAACAGGTTTCCGTGCTGCTCTCTCAGGTCTTCCCAGGCCTTACAAAGTTCAAGCCACTGATGACAGACTGGATCGGGATCAACAGGGGTGAAGGGAAATGTGGGATTCGAGGAAAACTGCAGTGAAAGCTCTGTGGAAGCTGCACACCTGTCCTACACCGAACCTGCCTTAGTTCTGGGGCCTTCCTCCCTCTCACCCCCATAAGAGGAGAAAAAAGCCAAAACCAGGATTAAGAGAAAACTCATTTTCCCACAGCAGAGAGGCCTCCACTGTCATCAACAGAGCTGCTCCCAGGCAAAGCCAAAGTTTAGCCGGCCTGGCCAAACTCCACCCTCCTGACAAAGGCACCTCCTGCCAGGCCCCTGGGACTGCAGGGACAGCCAAGACTGGCAGCCCTAAAGCCCACCCAGTCGGGTCCCTCCACTTCGGCAAAGAGCCCAGGAATCTTTTCGCACTCACTGCTGAAATCCAAACTGAACCAGTATACAAACCAGATGGTTCTGCCAACAAAACAGCAACAACACGGAAAAAGGAGTGATAAATCAATGGTATTCTGGCTAAATATATACTTATTCTTTCTGCTTGCCTTAGCAGGGGCACTGCTGCAGATTTTAAACATTTGATAAATATGTCTTTGCTTCCCAGTGATAATTAAAACAAACACACACCCCCAAACACACACGACTAACACGGAGAAAAGAGAAAAACAACAAAGGGGATTTGCTTAGGACATAATGTTCAAGAGGTAGGCATGGCAGCTATTATCTGCAGGTGAAAATGCTCTGCTCCTATTAAAACATGTACCCTGTCTGGCAAGGGCTCTTACCGCACAAAACAAACTCACTGGACACTTTGACAGTCCACGGTTAGGGGGCTAGCAAGGGGTGCCCCCAGGACAAGGCAGAGAGGTTCCCTCTTTGGGGGAAAGGAGTAAACAGCAAGCAGAAGGTGGGTGAGCTGAGTCGTCCACTGAGACTCACCGGCAGAGACGGAAGGTGCGGGGATGCAGTCGGCGCCGACAAAGGTAAACCTGCTGCCTCCTGGCAGCGAGATCACAGCCCAAATAAAGCCAGAACCTGATCAAGTGACCTCCAGCCTGACCAGCGGAAAACAAACTATCTGAAGGGCAAGGATATGACACAATCTGGTAAAACGGAAGCTCAAAGGCAAGTTGATCACCGCGTCTGGCACTGACTAGGGGACCGAGTACAAGACCAGGACGTGCCAACAGCGTGTCCTAAGACAGGATGCGCAGACACCAGCCAACCGTCTCCCTGTGCTGACTCTGGCTCACCTGAGTAAGGCTTGGCTCCCCACAGACTCGGTGACCTTCGGGGGGGGGGGTGGCCGTGACTCCCCCTGGGGCTGGCCATTATGTTCCTTGCCACTCGTGGTTCCCGGTCAGCCCCTGCCCTGCACATTTGGTGACCACAGGTCAACCGCGCCTGGGACAGATCGACTCTTGGGGATCAGCTGGAACTGAGGACCAACCCGGGTGGGTCTCCTGTGCCAGCAGGGAAGAGTGAAGTAAGGACTGCACCCCGGAGAGGCTTCTTCCCTTGGGCACTTTTCGCTTGAGGTTTCAGTGAATGCTCAAACCAGCATTTCCCAAAATGGGGTCAGAGACATCTGACTTCCATCCTCTGAGACACTCCTAGAAAGGTAGGAACGATGAGGCCGGGGTGGGCACAGAGAGGCGAAGGCTCTTTCAGGTAGTACGTACACAGACACCTTTCCCCAGCTCAGCTAAGAGACCAATGGAGGCACTGCTGGTTTCTGCAGAGCTAGTTTTTAGTCTACACAGTTACCATCCCCAACCACCAGCCCTGGGGGCCAGAACTGACTGCAGGGATGGGAAGAAACGAGGAGAGGGAAGGGAACCCTCAGATTTGATTTCTTTCTCTCAACTCCAACATCCAAAGGAACTGAGCTCTGCGGATTCTCACAAGTCCCCTTTTTCTCCACCGCTACTGCCACAGTCTTAATGTCTTAAGTCCAGGCCCTCATCATCTCTCCTACCAATTACTTTAATGGATTCGTTTCTACTAATTTCTACTTGCTCAACTTCACAACTCCACACAGCCCACCAAGCTACCTTTCTAGAATACAGACCTGACCCTCTCCCTTAACGGATCCCCGGCCTACAGGACTGAGTCCCGGCCCTGGGAAGAGTGTACAAGGCCCCCACCTACCTTTTCAGCTGGAAGCACAGGCTCTGGAGTCCCACAGACCACAGCTGCTGACTCTCAGATGAATGGTTCGCTGGCCATGTGAACGCACGTGTTGTTTCTGTACCTATTCCACATCTGTGCGTTGGAAATAGCATGATCAACCTCCCAGAGCTGCTGTGAGGATTAAATCCAAGTTGTAAAGAGCCTAGCTCTCCATGAGTGTTCACAACTCTACCACCCCCAACCTGGGTCCAGGGTCCACTCCCTTCCCCACCTGGCTATGTCTCATTCATTCATTCTTCATAATGAATGAACGAGAATTAACTCCCAAGAAGAGAAAGCACAAGCAAGAGCTAAAAGCTGATGGTCATAAATATAAAAATTAGGCTGCCAAAATATGAAAGATACCAAAATTAGCTCATTATCAAAATAATGTAAGTGGAGAGAAGGAATGGAAAGAAAAGGAAAATATTATTTTGGGAAGGAAATGTTTTTCACATATGATGTTTTGGACCTCATTTGTTCCAAAGATTTAGGATAATGACATTTCAAAAGCTGACAAAGATGACACTTCTATTTTCTTAAGACTATTTCTTAATTAATGTCTTTGGAGAACTAAGAAGTCCTTTTATAGACTGAATGAATCTTAATAAAATTCTCAGAGAAATTCTGGCATCAGTCACAACAAACACCCTCTCGGAATTTAATTTCCTTTCAGCATACAGCTTACTATGGAAACTCACTTATGATGCCACCACTACCAGTCAAAATCTGCCTGGAGCACAAAAACTTCAAAGTTCCAAAAGAGAGCCAGACAGGACCAGATGGAAATTGGCCCCATATTTAGACAAATCCAACATCTAACAGAAATGTCCTCCATGCCACACTTTACAACCTTGACCCTCAGCCAGACTCAGCTCCTCCCACTCCTCCCCCACCTTACACTACGGCTCTTCCAGGGCCTCCCTACAGACACAACCCCCCAAATTCACTAACTTTTCCTTGCCCAACAAAACAAATAAAAAAGGTGAGAAGGCCACAAAATGGGCAAAAGGAAAACTAGTTACATCCATTTTCAACCTTCTGTCAAAGACCTTTTCTGGCTTCTGGTTTTTTCAATTCTCTCCTCTTAGATAAGACAATCACAGGCCTTGGAATATTCACTGTGTGTTGGGGGTTGAGGTGGGAAAGCAAAAGCTGGAAGGTTTATAAATACAAAACGGTCCTTCAAAAGCTCCCCCACAACAATTCCTACTGAAAGACTTAATCCCATTATCCCAATCACCTGTGGACAACAGAGAGCAGGGTGTGGATGCCAATCTTTAATGAGCACCCACTGCAATTAATGGGTGTATCTCATTTATTATAAGGCAGATAATATTACTGATTTTTACATATGTGGGAATCAGGCTCAGGCTGGTTAGGTGATGGACTGTTTTTACACCCAGGCCCACCAGACTCCCAGGATTCTTGAACTTAGCACTTCACCACGCTGCTTCCAGTATCTGTAAGTGCTTACATTAAAGTATCCTGGTTGGAGAGCACTTTGCAATTTACGTGTTGCTTTTCTCATATATTATTTCATTTAATCATCACGTCCCTGTAGGATGGCTAGGAATTTCTTTTCCACTGTTACAAAAGCCCATTTAGATTCAAAGATCATCGGTACCTTGTGCAAGACAGCTGTAACACTTAAACAGTTGTATCCTCTCTTGGCTTTAATGTCTTACCTGTAAAATGATGCTCATTCCTACTTCTCAGTGCATGATAAATGGCAGAGGCTCAAATGGTAACTATTGTTAGCATCATAATTTTCATTAATAGCCCTCAGTTAAAGTAAAATTAACACACACACACAAACACTAGATATTTTAAAGACTCAACTTTATTAGTCAAACCTTTACTTGTTGGTAAAATACCACAACCTCAAACTCAGAAATAACCACTAACTGCAGCTTCCAAAAAACTGACAAAAAAAGATTACTGAAAATGATGTGGTCAAAACCAATATCGATTTTAAAAGCAACTAATGGATGATAACAGAAGAATAGGAGCATTGTTATGATAAAATACAAAAAAACCCCACCTTTTCTTCCAGCACCACAGGCTTAATCATTAATGTGCTGCTTGACCTCTGCCACATCATTTCAATTCTGTGATGGCCCTCATCATGGCCAGCTTATAACCTGGAAGTTCTAGTGAGACATTGCCCAAGGGGTCTAGGGAAGAGGGGTGGGGTAGAGAGCTATTTTTAATGTGCTGCATCTCAGAACTACTTGCCTATTTATTATACCCATTTGAAAAGAAATCTGGGAAGTCTAGAAATGCCAGATGCAATAGGAATCAGCTCATCCCTGCTCAAAACAGAATGGAAAAGATGGATAAGTGTAGTTGTACAAGGATCCCAGCATCAGTCAGACAGAAGACAACCTATAATACTATGGCGATGAGCGATCCTGAAGATGTTCTCCAGGTAAGCTCCAGGAAGACCAATACAACTGCGCATCCACTCCAGGCTTGAAAGTTAAAAAATAAGAACAAATTCGGGTCCACAGGTAAGATATATGTAATGTTTTCTAAGCACCGTTAGCAACCTTATAGTCAAGATAGCTGGACAGCTAAGTACACTAACTGCCTGCATGAGAATGGTATTCATATTGTAAATCTAGTAGCAATTATTGTTAGTTTGTTGTTCTGCTTTTTGCAATCTTTCTTGCTTCTCATGGTTTCCTTTAAATCCATCCCAATTTATTTATAAGAACAGGCTGAGGTTTATTTTACGACTCACAAGGAAAAAAATTTCAGTCTCCCTTTGAAATTTCCTCCTATCTCCTGCGTGACAGATAAGAAAACAGGCCCAGAGGGCAAGAGACTCACCCAGGGTCACCCTTGCTCACATATCTAGGACTAGAACAAGGGCTCAAGAAGCCCAGTATGGATCTCCTGCTGTTTCACTATAGCAAGTGACCTGGCACACTGGTGTCTTAAATACAAAGTTTATTTGGGGGAGGGGGGGCATTATGAGTCATCTCTATTGTCAAGGGACACCACACAGGTTATTCTAATAAATTATCTAGAACTTGTTTCTGAAATAACCAACCTAAGCAGAGAATAAAAGGCCAAGTCCTCTACCCACAAGCCTGAGAGCAGACGTGCTGCTGGGCTTTCGGGGACCTGCTAGCCCAACCCAGAGGAATCTACTAAGGGGGAACCCTGGTCGCGGGCAGTACTGGAGAAGGAAACGGGTGGGTGGGTGGATGGGACTGATCAGAGTTGATTTTTTTCGGTCAGCTCGCGGAGACAGTTACGATTTCATGCAGCCCAATCCCACTCACCTTGGAACACCCCTAAATATCTCATCCACTTAGCTGTCCCTGTTCAACTTCCCCAGGACAAAAACCACTGCAGTCTGAGAGGTGAACCTGGCCGACTGGGAGGGGCGGTCCTTGACCCTGGCGGCGGAGGAAGCCAAGCAAAGCTCAGCTCCCCGCCCCCGCCCAGCCCTTACAGGAACTCCCCGTCGGGTCTTCGGACGCCATAGGCGTCCCCAACTCTGGGCCTGACCCCTCTTCCCAGGGTCTGCCCCGACAGAGGCGGGGAGGAGCAGAGCCCAGTCCTCACCGCCCTATCCCGCCGCCGCTAGCCCCGGAGCCCCGACCCCTGGGCTCGCCGCGCCGCATCCCGCCCCGCAGGGACCCCTGCCGGACGTTCCCCCACTCCCGGAGACGCTGAGCGCACCCCTCTCCCCGCCCGCAGAGGATCCGCGTCCGCGAACGGAGCCCTGCCGGCCGCCCCGGCCCGGGCTCCTTGCACCGGGTCCCCGGACCCGGAGTCCGCCCCGCACCCGCACTTCCCGCCCGGCCCACGCGTGCTCGCGCTCCGCCCCAACTTTTCCCGGCCCCGCAGCGGCGGGGACGCCGCGACGGGCGGGCGAGCTCGCGTCCCCTCGGCCCCCGCCCGCCCGCCGGCGCGAGTTGCGCTCGGGACCCGCCGGGCGCCGGGGCCTCGGTCTGCAGCCCGGCGCGGAGGCGGAGCCGGCGTGGCGGGAACCGCGCTGTCCCGCGCCGCCCCGCCGCCGCGCCTCCACCACCTGCCCGCAGGCGCCGGCGCCGCTCACCTCCGCCCGCACCGCCGCCGCCACCACTGCCGGCAATACGTGGCAGTGGCCGCCGCCGCTCGCGCTCCCCGCCTCGCCTCTCCTCTCGGCGCCCGCGCGGGCGGCTCCGGCGCGCCGGACCGCAGCGCCAGGCGCCCTCTGCCGCCGGGAAGCCGAATCCTCCCGCCCTAACCCTAACTCGCCGGCCGCCCCCGCCCGGCCCCGGCCCCCGCCTTCGCCCCCGCCCCGCCGGCCCGCTCTGGCCCGGCCCCCCGCTCGCCACCGGGCGGCGTCCGCAGGGCCGGGAGGCTGCCCCGCGGGCCCGCCCGCCCGCCTGCTGCTGCCTCCGGGGAGCCTGCCCTGACCACTCCTGCGGCTTCCGCACTGCCGGAGCAAAAGTCACCCCCTGTGGATATATTTCCTGCTTCTTTCAATGCCTCGCCCACGAGATCGCAAAATTGGGGAGAGGGGCGGTCGGGGGCAAGCACGTGTCTGTCGCGTTCCCCGTTCTCTCTCCTGGACCTAGGCTGGCGCCCTGCCTGGAATACTGAAGTGCGCAGTAAATACTTGCGGAGACGGCGAACGAGTGAATGAATGAGTAGGGGTTTCCTTACATCACAGGGTAAAGAAATAATAAAAAAAAAAAAATTAAAAAGAGTGACTAGAGATTTTTACCGCTGTCTACCCAAGTAGGCTTTTAAACCTCAAGCGGACAGAGATCCTGACCTGGATTTGGTTTTTGTAAATTACACGTGCAGCACACATGCGCAGCTTAGCGTAAATAAATGGATTCACAATTCCCCACCTCAGACCAGCACCAAAGCTGCATGAGGCCGACTGCTAAATATTAGTCAGGGGTTTTAGTCAAATACATCTTAGGTTTTAGATCTACCGCTTAAAAGCTGGGCAATCTTGGGAAAGCTAATCTCCCTAGGCTACAGTTAACTCATCTATAAATTAAGAATAATAAAACCTACTTCTTAGAGTTGTTATGAGGATTAATCAAGATCATGCACTGTAAAGCGCTTTACAAGCCCCCTGATGTGTATGGTAGTATGTAAGTGATAGTTATTGTTAGATAGTTGTTAGATATGGTTATTGTTAGATATTATTTTGTCACCTAGATATTATTGATCTAGGTGACAGAAATATGAAAATGTAAAATAATGGCTACCTTTTTGCCTGAAGACAATCTTAAAACCCTTGTATGTGTGGTATAGTCACTTGCCCACGAAGACCAGCCCTGGGAGCAATGCCATTCCTGTCCCTCCTCCCCTCCACCCCCACAATTTAACAGGTCTTTGGTTTTTTAAGAGCTGTAGAACCCATTCTCCTGCAGGTTTTCCACCTGGATTTCTGTGGCCAAACTCCTAATTAACAGATGTTTGTTTTATTTATGTCAAGTGACTCACTGGAAGCACCTGCAGTCTACTGCCTCTTCCAGTTTTCTCCCTGACCCTCTCTCAAACATCTTGAAGGACCCTTTTCACTTTTACAAGAAATCTCCCTTCTGCGCCACACAAAAGCAGCAGTGCGGTGCAGTGGCATCTGGGCATCCCAGCCCATCCTCTATGGGGTCTTGGAACTTCAGTCCCTTCGACTGTAGTTGAAGGGACTATAAACTTTTCAACTGTAAACTATGGAGAATAACATCTTATAACATTGGGAAAGATTTCATGATCCAGTCTGTGAGGGAAATCCCTGAAACACAGAGGTATTTAATAAAAGGCAACTATTGATTAGCTTGTTTAGCAAATATTTAAGGTGAATCTATTTAGCATTCTAGGTGCTAAAAGGGTGAGGGAAACACATGTGTGAGGTAAGGTCCCTGCCCTCAAAGGAGCTTGAGCTCTAGCTTACAAATGTACTCCATACTAGGGCAGAGGGGTTGAGAGGACAAGGAATGCTGCTAAATATGAAATTAGCAAGCCTCAAGGTCCAAATTGGGGCAGTGGTATTGCAGTGTGCCTTGCTTTTATTCATTGTCATTGTAAATGCCGTTTTCCTCTAAATATTATGTACATAACTTCCCAAGACCACCACTAAAAATTAATGAATAATTTTATGAGGCAAGCAGAGCCATTGATAAAGGATTTAGTCCTTTAATAAGGTGACTCCAAATGCTTCCTAATGCTAGTAATAATGTATATATTGTGTCTTTCTGAAAGTGCCATAAATTATATTTTAAAGTTGCATTTCTTGCAATGCAAGTCCAAGAGGGAGAGTTCACATATTGTTACCCTAATGGTTTCTAATGAATTACACCTGCAGAGGTGTCCTTGGGTAGCCCCCTCCCACATTGACCCTGGGCTTGGCCAGGTGACTCGCTTTAGCCACTAGGACAAGAGCTAGTGTGACACAAGCAGGGGCTTTTGATGAGCACTGTGCCTCGCTACTTGCTCTCTTGGAATGCTGCCCTGAGACTGCTGTGAAGAAACTTGGTCCAACCTCCTTGTAGACGAAAGACCCCAAGGAGAGAAAGGCTTGACATTCCAGCTACCCAACCCACCAGCTGAATTCAGCCACATGAGTGACCCCAGGCAAAGCCAGCCCACAGTAACCTAGCCAACCCAAGAATTGCAAAAAATAAAATGGTTGTTGTTTTAAGTCACTAAGCATTGGGGTGGTTTGTTATACAGTAAGAGATAACTGACACACATACCACTCATAGGCTTTTCTACAGTTACAAGGTCTTGGTGAAATGCACCCAAAAGTCAGTATTCTCACTAGTGTTTTTTGTCATAAAGCGTTCAGTGGAAGTCACTATGTCTAAGCTTAGCGGAGCGTCACATCTTATGTAAATACCCTCTTTCAAAGTCTTCACTGAATTGGTTACTGAGCCTAGTACTGTTTAAAATCCTTTTGCACTCAATATAACAATGAGCAGGCAAAATCAGCTTGTAAACTACCAAAATCTTTAAACATCATGACTCCTTAGAA